AAAAATTTTTTAATATAAACTTTAAAAATTTATTATTCAAAAACTACTTAGTAAAAATAAGAAAATTCTTTAATAAAATTTATAGAATATGTTTTCAACATAATTATCTGCCTTACTATTTGTTGTTCATAACTATTTTCATTCTAATTTCCTATATGGCTGGGAATCTTCCTATGAGAGATTCCTGATCATATAAAAATTAGAATGTTTAGGTAGTCATGAATAATATAAGATAGGTGATTATTCATTTATTTCCTGTGAGAAGTTTAAAATTACAGCAGAAAGGATTCTACAATGATCATATGGTGCAGACAGTCCTTCAAACTATCTGTATTTTATAATTATTAGGAATCTCTGCTGTAATTTTTAAACTCCCAGAAAATAAATAATACATATATTTTAAATATAATATAGACTCTATATTATTAATATTTTATTAAATTATTTAAAAAATAGTAGTTACTTTTTAATTTTCTAGACAAATTTGCCTGAAATATAGTTTAAGAGATAATAATTTAATTTTATTTATTTTTGTATAATGTTAAACTAGATTGTTAAATATACAGATAGAAAATATTCTTCAATATTTAAACTTTTACTTTTGTTCTTGTATAATAAATATTATAATTATTTATTTGAACTATTTTTTGTATAATAAATACTGTATAAGAATTACTTATATTTTTTGTATTGTTGTTTTCTTTAAGATATATTAGCTTTTTATGATAGCTTTATAAAATATAAAAATTTTGTATAATTTATTGTTTTTGTTACAATTTTTAACTAACTAAACAGAAAATGAATAATATGATATAAATATAGGACTACCTTTGATTTAATTGGTTCTTCGTATTCGCTATTTCTTATAATGAAAAAATTCAAAACAGAGGTCTTATGTTCATATTCAAAAAGGCCAAAAACTATAAATGGTCGAGATGGATTGTAGGATTCTATATAGAGATGTAATCGGCTGGAATGGCTCGGCTTGGCTCACTAAAGCCATGGCCGAAGTCAAGCCATAGCATAAATAGCCATGGTGCAGCCAAGCCATGCATATATCATGGCTTGAGTTAGCCAAGCCGTTTAAGACATGGCTTAGTTTTCTGAGCCGCTGCTAACTATGGCTTAAGCTATTGTGAAGCTACAGGACTTTGAAGCCGGCTTCAGACGTAACCGATTTAAATCATGGCTAAAGTTTATCAGCTTGGCTCAGGCTATGGCTGAAAACCAAAGCCGAAAGCCATGATTTTAAAGGCTTGGCTTGATAGTGGCTTTGGTATCATGTCGCCGATAACATCTCTAAATTTCATCATTCGGTTCCAAGAATTTTATGAAAATGCTCAGAAATTTGGAAAATGCTCAAAATATTTAGTTTACATGGGAAAATTTGGATCCAAATTTTTCCGTGTCCCTGGCGCGTATCTGCGATAGCATAGTCTGCACATAAACCTGAACTTATTACATAACGATAACGATTAGTTGCTTGACGAAATTATATGATGCTAATCATCACACAGCCATGAATAGTAACATGTGAATTCACATATTAATATGGTACCACTCAACAGTTACACGAAGTGTTTCAATTTTATTAACATGTGGCTGTGTGATGATTAGCGTCACATAGTTTCGTCAGATAACGATAATAATACAGCGATAGGTGGAGTTAACATTAATAGCTATTTAACTTTTTTTTCATTTTATATAAAAATAAGCTTTTTAAAAGTAACTCTACAAGAACGATAATATTACGTAGAAGATATTTATAAGTGCATATACCCGAATTATCAATCGAGATGTCACTATCCAAAATACTGTTGTTTTAAGTAAAGTAATTGTTGAGAGGTCTCTATGAACAAAGTGATATGAAAACATAAAAAACTAATGTAACCCTGTAATATACGGTGCCTTCAAAGATCGCAACCATTTTGTCTTTCTCTGTAAGATTATTCTTCAGTTTGCAAGATCTTGGTGTGAAAAGTAGTTTGTTAGATGCGCACAAGTTAGAACTTTCATCAAAATGCATTCTTGAAAGAGTGGTATGTTATAAAGTGAGGAGGAAATTAAGGAAAACCATTTTATAGTATGTAAATTGCGATTTTAAGTTTTATTAATAAATTCCCTAGATAATACTATATTATTCAAGTTGTTTCAAGATATTTTTCTTCTCGGGTGTAAATTTGTGTCTTTTATATGGAATTGATAGCTAGGAAAAGAGACGAATTTGACAAAAAAATAATAGCTACAAAAAAATCAATTATCTCACGAACTATTGATCCGAATTACACAATTTTGGTATCATTCGATTCGTCTCATTAAGACGAATCGAATAATACCAACATGGTGAACAATTAAAAATCGATCTATTGAAACAGAATTCTAAGCTTGTATTTAGAAGGAAAATGTGAGATTAATATATTTTAAAAATATTCATGTGATTTTAAGACTTTCAATTGTCCAGCCGGGAATGCAGAAACCAGTGAACTACCCAGTATCTTGGGAGACCGTCCCAAATAAGGTAAGACCAAACTTAAAAAATTTCGCTAGGGCTAGAGGTTTGATTTTATGTTACACCTGATAACGAAATTTGATTTGATAGCGAAGTTTTAAGTTGGTAACGCCTGCGGTTTTAACAATAAAACTAATCAACCAACTAATCGATTACATTTTTTGATTTTTGATTGTATAATATCATGTGAAATTGTCGTATAGCCAATTATAATGCACTCTATAGGGCCTATATGAATACGAATTATCATCCGGATTTAGTTTTTCGAATCCAGATGGTATCTGGATGACCCAGAAAAGCAGAAAAGATAGGATCGGAACACTAATTAGATCTTTTGTAAATTACTCATAATTTTACTTGTAATGGAGCGATATAATATAACATTGCCCACTCCTAACTCCAACCATGCTCCCAAACTAACGTGTCATTATTGCTAGGATTTCACATTACATCTGAACTTAGGGTGCATCATAGCGCACCCGCACAAATTCTTAAATTATTAAGTTAATAAATGTTTTTAGCCAATCAATAAGGAATTATTTTATTAAATATGTGAACAAGACGCAATTTAATCCTTATCTACAATACGTTGAAGATGTGCTTCAATCTCAGCAACTGATAATGTTCGGAATTTGGGATCCTCTCGAGTGACAATAGCAACTTCAATTTCAGTTGCTTTAAAATCAGCCGCCAAAACGGATGACAGTGTATTGATAGCCAGCTGTTTAACATAAAAATCATTAACATAATAATAATTAATATTAATTTAATATTTAAAAACATCAACGACAGACCTCCACAGTATCTTCAAAATTTAAAGAAGGATCCTTTTTGAGTTTCTTTTCCAAATGATTCAAAGCTTCCTGTTGTTTGGCACCTGCGGCCGTTGCTTTGTATCCAACGTAATAACCAGCAGGATCACACTTAAAAAGTTGCGGACCTCGCTCTTCATCATATCCAATAAGGATCATTGCTAGCATTTAAGTCAGGTATTGTAATTTTTTTTTTTTTTCAAAAATTGAAGGAACCAACAAAACCACTTACAAACACCCAGAGGTCTCATGGCAGCGTGTTGTGTGTACACTTGGTTGATATTAGCTACTCGCTTCGCAAGCATATCTGTAGGAATCTCATAACCAAATTTGTAACGAAAATCCGCAGCCTCCTGCCTTGCACGAGTAACTTGTGCACGAGCATCAGCTTTTAAATATAACAATGCGACGGTAAGTTAATTATATAAATTGAATAAATATAATTGTATTTTTAACACACCGATCAAGCCTGTCATAACACAACCAACATATGGCGTTAAGTGAAAAGTATGAGTAACAGTAGATGGATCCAGTAATTTATCCTATAAATATTAATAATCTTATGAATAGTCTTTGAAAAAATATAAAAAAAATAAATAAATAAATAAACAGACCGGAATCTTTTTCTGCGTTACGATGACCACACTATCTTGACCACGAACGCCTACAGTCGTTATTCCAGAATTGGATATTGCCTTAAAAGCATACTCTGTTACAGCAATCATTTTGAAGCCGATTAAATTTAAATTAAAAATATACTAAATTATAGGGTAAAAAAAATTAACACATATACGCTAAAAATAGTGTGACTGATAAGTTATAAGTAAAAAGGTTTTCTTCTTGCAGCACTTAATTTGACTTTTACGTTATATTTTGGCCTAAATTATAAACTTTGTATTGGCTAAAAAAATTATCGAAATTTATGCAATTATTTTATATTGTTGGAAGCTAGAAAAGGATAACATAACGAAGTTCAGTTTCAAGCGGCTTAACTTTCTACCTTCAATAGCGAATCACCTCTTAATGTTCTCAGAGAATTCTAAGAATACAACTAAATTTCGATACGTATTAATATCTGATATGTATTATAAATTTTTTGTACATTAATACGTAAGATAAACTAAATAAAATTTACACCCGTTCTTAAGGTTTAATTAATTTTATTGGCAACAGTTGTAATCGGATTTGGGCTACATCCTTAATCGGAATAAATAGGTCTTAACTAGTGTCATGTCGTCACTATATTTTTGTGATGATTAAAATTCGTTTCCGTATTATTTTCTACACTTGGAGGGACCCACAGCAAAAGGTGGCTTCGGGCCAACCAATCAGATTTTGAAAATTTTTTAAAATAATTATATATCAAATAGTTATTTCAATTGTTATTAATAAAAAAAAGCATACAAATTCATCTTATATTATTAATAATAAATAGTTACATGATGATCTTTGATTGAAATTTTCTTTCAATCATGTGATCGTCACGAAGCCACTTTTTGCTGTTGGCCTCCCCCATTTATTATTATATAACATGTAAGCGATATAATTTATATAAACTCATAATTATATTTGAAAGTGAATAAAATAGACTACATTTTTTTAATAGGATTGTTATAAGGGTTATATATGCAACCTGTTTTCAATTATGTAAGTGACTCGAATGGAGAATTTGCACCCGGTTCAGAACTCTACAACTACTTCTTCAAAGTTCCGATTATGGACTGTGGATATAAAATAAAAAAATGTAAACGAAAAAAATATAAATACATTAATTAATTAGAAGATTTATACATGCCTCTGGTGAATACTTTTGCACTACATTTTTATCATGTAGCATATTAAACTATAAAAATAATAAATAATTTTTTTAATGAGCGTTTAAAATGGACAAAGCAAGGAAAAAAAGTTTACCTCTTCAGTAGCGTCCTTTCCGGCATAAATTAGAATTGCTTTTTTACCACCAGGATGATCTAAATTAAATATAGTAGATTTATAAGAGAGTGTGTGAAATAGATAGATGAGACTATCGAATTCCAAAGAGACTTACCCGGAAGAAATTTGGTTACATCTAAAACTTCGCCATTAACTATTACCCAGCAGTCTGACTATTTATTAGAAGACAGAGAGGGCGAAAATTATTAAAAGAATCCAAAAAAAAAAAAAAGATTAACGTAAAAAAAAGAGGCATTAAACACTCACGTTATCGGAATAAAATAATATCAAAGTTTATTGTATATAAAAGAAATAATTTAATAATTCTCAATTTTAAAATTGTCTTAAGAAATACAACTAACCGCTTTCTGTATTATGCTTGGCGACTTCAGCAGCGGTATATTCCTTTTTTTCGCGTGGTAATGCTTCTGCTTTCTTTTCCGGGGCAGGTGTTTGACTTGGTTGAGTTTGAGCTGGTGTATATTGGCTTATACCATTTCTTTGAGGACCCCAAGAAATTTCTAAGTGCACTTTTTGACTTGTAGGGTCAACAGAAATGGTTGATTGATATGGAGCCAATTGTCCAGTAATTTGTCCTAGGCGACGATTAGCAGTTGCACTTGACAAGTTCTGTAAAAGATAACGGGATGCGGAATCACCAGCAACCCGACCATAGACAACACAACCCAAAAGAGAAGATCCTCCCAATCTATTACAATCAGTAAAAATTCGGTTTTTAAAATATTTGATATAAATATAAAACAGTAATTACCTATTAGCGCCATGAACACCGCCAGCTAATTCCCCGGAAGCATATAGTCCCGGAATTGGTTTTCCTTGCTCATCTCTGATCTCAGAATCTGCATTTATATCAACCCCACCCTATAGAACACAATGCATGAGTCATAAACTTAAGAAATTAAAGAGTGTAATTAGATATGTAATATAAATCGTACAATCATACCATAGTATAATGCAATACTGGAGACATCAAGGCTACATGAAATTGATCGTTTACATTGATTGGCGTGTTATGGAAAAATTTCTTGCCATAAGGATCATTTTTTCTCCTAGCAATTTCGTTATAATCATCAAAAGTTTCTTTCAATTGCGACACAGAAATACCGATTTCTCTTGCCAACTCTTCGCCTGAAAATTTTCTCATCAAACCGCGACCAACATAATGTTTACAATGCCATTCAATTTCTTTTGAAGCTTTGCTATTAAGTACAAGACGAACAGGCCCTTTTGTTTTCCATATTTCACCAGTAACGTAATCACGATGACCCAATTCGTCACAGAATCGCTTTCCATCACCATTCAACAACAGTCCACCAACACCTCGAAGCGCTTCGGCGGCCAAAAATTTGACTTTTGCATCAGGTTCTTTTGGATCAACCAACCCCGTTGGATGAACTTGAACCTTTTCCAAATGAGTAGCCTTTCCTCCAATGGCCATAACCATTTTGTGACCATCGCCAGTACAATGCTCTCCATTGGTAGTGGGTAGATTGTATATGTCTGGGCGGTACTTTTTTAGCAAAGAATCGTCTGTGAAATCGGCTGCATAACCACCAGTGGCCAAAATTACGGGACCATATTCTTTAAAAGTTTGGCCATCTTTGACATATTCTACACCTACAACAGTATCGCCTTCCTTAATTAACTTTGTAACCCGTGCCTTTTTGATGATTCGGGCCCGATCAGGTTGTTTTTCAGCAAATTCCTCAATGCCTTCCATTAAAGCATAGGTAATCGTCATACCTGGGAACATTTCCTTCCCACGATGAGTACGCGGTTGAGAATGACCTCCCAATCGAGAAACAAGAGAAAGGTCTAGCTTGAATTTTTCTTGAAGCCATTCAACAGCGGAAGCAGAATTTCCGGTAAGAACTTTTATAAGATCAGGGCGAGCAAGGTCACGAGCTGATCGTGTCGTATCCTGAGCAAAAATTTCGGCGGAATCAGGAATGCCAAGAGCTATAAACCAAAGGCACTTTTGCGTTAATCTTTATTGTTTTAT